GGAGTTTGGCAGTGTCATTATTTTGGCCATCAATTTCCTATCTGAGGGGAACAGACATTTATGTCACATCTCCGCAGGAAAAGTGTTTCATAAGAGGGATTGATTAGTTCACACAGCACCTATGGCCACCATGTAATTTTGACATCAATGGCCCCTGATCCATTTGTAGAGAAATTCCTGTTTATAACCCAGTCTTTCAGGTACCTCTCAACTGTGTCTCTTTTCAGGGGACACTCGGTGGCTTAGGGTGAGTTGGTGGTAGTAGAAGGGAGAACTAGCCTCACAGCTATCAGGAAGTTTTGTGGCATTTATGTGTGCCTTCTCCTCACCCTTTCTCCAGGAGTTTAGCTATTAGGGATTGACACACCTCTAAATCTATGACAGAATGGAGGAGACTCACTTTCTCTGAACATCATTTTCCCAGTGTCTTATCTTACTGTCTCTGCAGCCTACCAGGGTCCCACCCCACTGCCCACAGCCAGGGAAATTAATTGCTTCCCTGCTGTGCCACACTTCTCCTGAGCTCACTCTTAAGCCCCTTGCATTGCTAAAGCTCTTACTGGCATTTGGCTAATTGTATTCTGCGTCTCTTCTTCAGGTGGCCTTTGCTCCTGGGGACTTGATGTTTTCTTTAGCTCAGCATACCTCACATTGGTGGTCTGCAGGTGAAGCTGACCCTGTCTCCTGGGGTGTGCTTCTTAGAGAGGTCTGTACCTATGGAGGGTGACTGTGGAACCAAACTGACTTTTTTTTTTCAGCAATGTTTTTCTCCCACAGTTTTTAGAATTAACGTTACTACCTGTAAATAAATGTACGCAGAGCTAGAGAGAGAAGTCATTGCTTCTAAAAGATGCTGCCAGTTGACTTCAAGGCTCTGTTACTTACATGAATACTTGCTGCACATGAGAACTTGCATGCGCATGAGCGTGTGTGTGTGTGTGTGTGTGTGTGTGTGTGTGTGTGTGTGTGTGTGTGCGGGCGCGTGTACACACAACACACACACACACACACACACACACCATGATACATTTCATAGTGTGATGCTACAGCCACCCTTTGCTACAGTTTCCAGCCTTACCAAAGCCACAAAAGTAGAACATTTCCTGTGTGTAGGGTGTGTGAGTGTGTGTTCAAGCGCACATGTATGTGTGAGTGCGTGTGCATTTGTATATGAAGGCCAGAGGACAACTTTTACTTTTCTGTTTTCAGCATCACCCTGACACCAACTGATTTCCCACTTAGAGCCACAGGTCTCCTTAAAATACAGATTGCTAATTCCTCTTCCTTGGTGAAGAAGGTCAGCATCTATCTTGCTGTGACACTCCATGCCTTTCCCTGCACTTCCAGGATCCACAGCTGCAACATGCTCATTTTTGTTTTTAAGCCCAAGCACACTGAACAATGAGGCCCTCTAAGCAAGACTCCATACCCAAACTGGTCTCTGCTGTCCCCTCTGCATTCAGCGTTCTTTACTACCTTGGATGACTTAGTCCAGTTGGCCAGGACTAACATCTGGCTCTACCATTTACTTGCTGTGGACAATGTGAGGGCACCTGAAACTTCTTAGTCTCAGTTTGCTCATCTTTAAGGGCAAAGAGTCAATCAATAGAAGTCTGAAAAAAAGAGAATTGCAGACAGTAATTCTCAGCCTTCAGTTCAACCCTCTGAACCATGGTCATTATCCCTTCCCACACATAGTCAACACATTGTGAATTACCAGAGAAGTGAGTTGTGTTTATTTCATTCCCCTAGACTGAGAGGCCTTGAAGGTCAAGGTTCCACATCTCAAGCCATGGCCTCATGCTTCTCACAAGTAGCTATGCCATGAATATTATATGAGGGGTCATTTATTTCTCCTTCATGGTCAAATACCCCTAATTCACAGGCCATTTGTTTCGTTGGGGTATGGTGAAATACATGGGCTCAGAGGTCAGAATGATATAGCTTCAAACCAGAGCGCTATGACCTTAAGCTCAAAGTTTTTCTTTTCCAATCATCAAAGAGAGGGTGGCAATACCATTGGAGAAATAACCCTATTTATTGTTGCTCTGATTGTTATTCTTTTGTTTAAAAAGAAGAAAAGAGAAATGCTGAGACAGACATAATGACTATAAGTTTATTATAAGGTCCGGCAGAATGGGGAAACTAAGAAGAGGAACAGGGTAATTGGCTGACCGCCACGGCCGGTCGCCATAGAGAGACAGAGCGAGAGCATAGGTGGGAGACAGAGTAGAGTGGGGGAACAGAGAGCACAGAGAGCGGGAACAGAGAGCGTAAATGGGCAGGGGCCAATCTTTTAAAGGGGTCCTCTGCACCTGCGTGCAGACTTAGTTCCCATGGAACCTTGGGCTGACCAGGGTATTGCCTGTTTCACCAGGTAACAGGGGCAGGCCAGCATAATGCCTAAACCTTTCACTGATGACATTTTTTTCTCATTTTCTCATATGTGTATATATTTTGTGTATGCTTGCATGTGTGTCAGTGTAAGTACATATGTACAGGTGCATTTGGTACCCTGAGGTTGATTTTGAGAATCATCCTCGACCATCTTCTACCATATTCATCAAGCAAAGGTCTCTCAATCAAACCCAGAGCTCACTGATATGGCTAGTCTTGCCAGCAGTCTGGAATACTTTGTCTTCAGCCTCCCAGGTGAACCACTATGGGTTCTGGGAATCCAAACTGTGATCCTCACTATCAAGGGTTTCAGCCAATGAGCTATCTCCCCAGCACCCTGTTCTGAAAATTGACCCTGACATACATGGAGTGCCACCATCAGTATTATTAGGAGGTTTATTAGGAGGTTATGGTGTTCCTGGTTTGGACCCTCCCCAGATTCTCCTGGTACTGCCCAGATAGACAAACCACAGAGTGCTGTTTTTTTTTTTTTTTTTTTTTTTTTTTCTGTTTTTTTGTGACAGGGTTTCTCTGTGTAACTTTGGAGCCTATGCTGGCACTGGCTCTGGAGACCAGGTTGGCCTTGAACTCTCAGAGATCCACCTGCCTCTGCCTCCTGAGTACTGGGATTAAAGGTATGTGCCACCAACACCCGCTTATGCCTGTAATTCTAGCTCCAGGGGAATCTGATTCCATTTTTGGCTTTCATGGGTACCTGCAGACTTATATACATAAATACAAATAAATTTTTAAAAATCTTTGGAACTATGGTCTCTCTCATGAGTCCTAAGTACTCTCATTTTTATGAAATTATTATTACTCTAAAAAACAATACACATGAATTATATTTTTACTCCATTAATACAAAGATAAATACAAGTCAGTTTTGATTCATTTTTATATATTGCTTAATTTTACATTAACTTTCTTTGGATTTTAAGAGAAGAAAAGATAAAAAGGAGAAAACATGAATTTGGGAAGAGGAAGTGGGGAGGGGGTCTGGTGGGAATAAGAAGAGGAGTGTGGGGGGTAGGTTTGATCTAAATTCATTGTATTTATGTATGAAACTATGGACAAATATATAATGATTTGTTTTTGTTTTTGTTTTTTTGAGACAGGGTTTCTCTGTGTAGCTTTGGAGGCTGTCCTGGAACCAGCTCTTGTAGATCAGGCTGGTTTCAAACTCACAAAGATCTGACTGCCTCTGCCACCCAAGTGCTGGGATTAAAGGTGTGCACCACCACCCTTGAGGCTTGGAAGCATGTATAATACATTTTAAAGCACATTATTAAGTATATGGGCCAGACACTGTGCCAGTTTTTGGAGTAGGCCACCCTGTGAATTTCAGTTCCCACCAGTCTTCCTGGCACACTCCCTTATCCAGCTCCTTGTGAGGTGATGGCACTCCCCTTCTTCCTGAACTTACTCTCTGGCTTCCCTCATCTCTTGGCAGTTCAACCCCGAAAGCAGGTGCAGTCAGCAGACATCAGCATCTACTTACATGTGGTGACCTGCCACCCTCCTTGGGCCCAGCAGGTGTGTGCCTCTGCATAGAGTCTACATTACAACGCCACACTGGAGACACTGATACTGCTGGTGGGAAACTCACACGTGAGAAGCCCTGCTTTGGCCAGAAGTGAGGAGCTCAGCCTGGTTGTCCAAGCTCCAATTCTCCACCCAGTCACCTTTTTTTCCTCCCAGCTATTTGATTCCAGACCCTCTCCTCTGTACTGGTCTTTTCTCTATGGGATACGTGTCCAGGAAGTGCAGGGGTTCCCTGGCCACCAGACCACTCTCCCCTTGCATCTGAAAGAGATTCAGCTCTCTTCTTGCCTTGTTTTTTCTTTCCTTGTCCCCCTGGCCTGACTGGCTGTAACCTCAGCTACTGCTCAGTGCTGAGTTATAGCACACGCCATGCCTGGCTTGCATCTACACACACACACACACACACACACACACACACACACACACACACACACACACGTTTGTAAAGGAAGAGGGCAGATGAGAAGTGACTGGGAGGTAAGTGGGATGGGAATGCATGATGTGAAATCCACACACAAAAAAATCAATAAAAGTTAAAAAAAAAAGTATTTGTTACTGGGCTTGCAAGATGGTTTCAGCAGGTAAAAGTGCTTGCGGCTGAGCCTACCTACCAGAGTTCAATCCCTAGAACTCATGGGGTGGAAGGAGAGAACTGACTCCAGCAAGTTGTCTTCTGACACTCTCCCCGCCTCCCACACACAAATTAGTGCAATCTTTTAAAAATTAATATTTTTTACAATTGCTCATTGCAAATTTTCTCATAGGCTCAACTGCTTTGAAGAAGCCCAAGCTGCTAGAAAGCAAACTGTTTAAGAGCACTCGGCTTTTTAAACCTTGTCAGCTCCACCTTCAGACTTAACTCCGCCCAGATACACCCATCTTAGGTCCCGCCCCTCGCGGGTCTGGGACTGTTCGGCTTCTTCCAAGCCTTCAGCTTTTTCTCCTAGTGTAGTTCCCGCCCCTTACTTTCAGGGCACTCGGCTGACATGCGCATGCGCATGAGAAAGCTTTTCTTCCTGAAGTCCCCAACTGCTCGTAGCAAAGGAACTACAGGGCCCATGTCGCGACCTTGTGGACTCCCAGAGCCTGTCAGGTAAAGCCCTCCGGCTCCACACAGTGGAGCCCAACCTAGCTGGGCCCGGATCACATGCCTGTCCTACTTGTCCATCCTACATTTCAGGCTCCTCGGGACTAGCCTCCTGATCGGCCAACTGGGACTTTGCTCTTTCTGCTCCAGGGGACAGAGTGGGGGTTTCCCCTAAAAAGATTCACAAACAGGCAGGCATGTCCTCATGCCCCTGGGTCACAGCGCTTCCCTTTTGCCAACCTGTATCACTCTTCGGTAACCTGTGTCCCCACAGCAGAACCTCAGAACCCCACGATGACCAAACAGCACTGCATCAGCCAGACCGGGTTCAACTTGCTGGGTGGCTACTAACACTCAGGATCGTGGGTCTTGCTCAAGGCACTGCTCCCAGCCTGGGCTCACATGATCACATTATCTACAGGGCTTTCCTGAGAATTGGCAGCTCTAGGAGCTCCTTAAAAGCCTCTCTGGGCAGAGTTCTTTCTGCTTGGCTAGCTGTCTTTTCTGAACAGAGGCCTGCACACTGTATGCCCACTTTCAGTGACACTTTCCAGGACATTTGATTGGTTTGCAGCCCTCACCCTGCCACGGGGAAGGGGCAAGGGAGGAGGTGGTGAGAATAAGCAAACATCTCCAACCAATGGCTTGTTAAGGATGCCCTAGCTAGTCATCAGCAGTCACAGCTGAGTGCCCCTCCCCCCACCCCCACTCCGTGTGTGAATTGATCACTTTATCTTTTTTTTAATCTTTTTTTATGTGAATTATAAACAAGATTGATTTACATGACAATCCCAATTCCCTTCTCCCCCTTCCTCCCCTACCACTCCCCCAACTAAAACCCTCCCTATCACATATCCTTTCTTCTCATCTACACCTGACTCAACCTTTCTGCTCCCTCATGACCTCTGCATCCTTCCTCTTCTTCCCTTCTCATTCTCGTAGCTCCCTCCCCCCTCTTCCCATGCTCTCAATTTGCTCAGGGGATCGGGTCACTTTATCTTAATGACTACCCTCAAGAAAGTTACAGATGAAGACTTTAATGACATCCAGGAGATGATGTCATAATTTTTTTCCATGTGTAGCCCATGCTGATTTCAAAATTCTGGCCATCCTTCTCCCTCAACCTCCCAAACACTGGGATTACAGGTGTGAGCTACCACACCTGACACCATCCATTTTGAGTTGAAATGAGTTTGGATTGACCTAAACATCTGCCTTTGCACAGTCATACTACAGACTAATGAAAACTGATGTCCACTTTCTGTGGCCACCATGACGAAGTCCTAAGAATTGTATGACTTAAGTAATGGCAGTTTATCCTCTTTTAGGTCTGAAGGCCAGTCCAAATTCAAGGTGTCAATGGGAACACAATCGGAAGTCTCTGGGGCACTTGCCTCTTCCAGCTTCTGGTGGCTTCTGGTCATCCTTGACTTATAGCAGCAGCACTCTGGCCCCCAGCCCCATCTCTGTGTGCGTCTCTCTGTAGCCTCTTCCTTCAGAGACACCTGTCCTTGCAGAGTGATCTTGTCTTACCAGCCTTAACTACATCTGCAAAGATCCCATTTCTGAGTAAGGTCCCATTCCCAGGTTCTAAGTTGACATGAACTAGGCCACTATCCCACACCCTGTGTGGGCCAGCTGCATCGTATGCTTGTCTGAGGGACACAGGAAGAGCTACACGAGCACACTGCCATCTGTGGTGATGAATCTAAATTTTTGCATAACCGTCAGTAATGGTTCCTCAAAGCACAGTCCCTTGAGCTGCCACAGAGGCAACATCATCACTCTGAAGTAGGATCAAGTGCTCCTTCTCAGGCCTTACCTCAAAGCCACTGAGTCACTGTGTGGGGTACCCTGTGCAGCCGAAAACCGCCCTCTCCCAGATTCGGTGGGTGTTTGAGTTTGGGAATTACCTTTAAGTGGCGTCTGGGTTTGAGAACATGGCCAAGCAGGCCTTACAAAGACTTTTCCACACACCTGTCCTGTCCTTGTGTAGCTATATTATTTCTTCCCCAGAGCACTAGGGACAGACCAGGGCCTCCCATGCTAAGCAAGTACTCTACTACTGAGCAATATCCCAAGCCTGCTTTTTATTGTTTATTTAGAAACAAGGTCTGGAGTTCAAGGTTGGCCTTGAACTCACTTTGTATCTCAAGGATATCTTGAACTTGTAATCCTCCTGCCTCAGCTCCCAAACAGCTGGGACTACAATGAAGCCCAGCTTACATACAGATGTCAAAGTTCAACTGTTGCATTACTGGGGAGATGTCTTACCATACGTGCTTGATTTGGTTTGGTTTTTGAGGTAAGGGGTCACATATCACAGGTAGGCCCTGAACTCACTGTGTTGCTGAGGATAACCTTGAACTCCTGGTCCTCTTGCCCTTACTTCTCTAATGCAAGTATTACATACAGACATGCCTAACTTGGCTTATTCTTGAATTTTAAATTTAATTTGCCTTTCTACGTGAACTCATGTATGCAACTGTGAACTTAGTGTTTTTGCCTCATTCGTTCTTGCCAACAACATGCCATTTAAGTACTGTGATTTCTGTCAGGTTATTGGAAAACTATAATGAGACTATGAAATTAAATCCAAGATACACACCCCACCCCCACCACTCATCCCACCACAAATAGCTCAGCAGGGCTGGGAGCTTTCTGCCACAGCTCTGCTTACGAGAGATCTTGCCCTGTCTTTGTCTTAGGAACAACCTCATAGATGATGCCAAGGCCCGCTTGAGAAGGTTCGATGTTGGGACCAGGTATTCCCATTTGTCTTCTAATAAATACTCTGTCCTTCTGCCACTGCTGGTCAAAGAAGGAAATTTGTACTTGCTGCTCACTGTCCGCTCCGACAAGGTAGGTAACAAGAGGCTCTTGTGACATCTCGGGGCATTTAAAAACACACTTCTGTCACTTTGTCCTCATCTCAAGGCTGCCATTCTCAAATGAACTTTTGAAATCATGGTGTTGGAGGGGTCATGAAAGCCACAGGATGAAATGGGATTTTGTTTGTTTGGTGATTTTGAGACATATTTGCTCTCTAGCCAAGTGGACCTTGAATTCATGACAATCTACCTGTCTCTGCCTCCCAAGTGCTAACTTAAGTTTTGGTATTTGTTTATTTGTGTATGTGTGTGTGTGTGTGTGTATGATTATGGAGGCCAGAGGAAGACATTGAGTGGCCTCCTCTATCACTGTCTGCGCTGTTGCCTTGAAATAGACCTCTCACTGAACCTGGAGCTTGTGTGTCTAGACTAGGCATTGCTTGTATGCTGCAGCAATCCTCATGCCTCCAGCCTACCTCATAACGAGAGTTACAGGAATACACAGCCATGCCAGCATCATTAACTGGGTTCTGGGGATACAAACTTGCACAAACAAGCATTTTACTCATTGAGCCACCTCCTCAGCCAAACATGCCATTTTTTTTGTTTGTTTGGTTTTTGTTTTTATTGTTTTGGGTTTTTTTTGTTGTTGTTGTTGTTGTTGTTGTTGTTGTTGTTGTTGTTGTTGTTGTTGTTGTTGTTGTTGTTGTTTTTCGAGACAGGGTTTCTCTGTATAGCTTTGGAGCCTATCCTGGCACTCACTCTGGAGACCAGGCTGGACTCGAACTCAGAGAGATCTACCTGCTTCTACCTCCCGAGTGCTGGGATTAAAGGCATGCACCACCAACCTAGACTAGGGAAATGAGTATCTCAGTTCTGCTCCTAAGCATAGACAAAGTGTTCATAATTCCCTGCCCCCCCTAGTGTGTGTGTGTGTGTGTGTGTGTGTGTGTGTGTGTGTGTGTGTCTCACAGGTCTGAGAAACAATGAAGGCCATATATGACCAAACCCTCTGGCCAATGGGACTCTGATTTTCGTTGCAGCCACAGCGGTTATGCCTGATGATCATACAAGTCATTTTAATTTTTAAAGATTTATTTTCTATGTGTATGGGTGTTTTTCCTGGATGGATGGATGTGCACCATGTTTGTTTAGTATCCACATAGGTCAGAAAAAAGAACTGAATACCCTAGAACTACAGTTGTAGGTAGTTATGAGCCACCATGTGAGATCTGGGAACTGAACCTACGTCTTTTGCAAGAGCAGCAAGTGCTCAACCACTGAGCAATCTCTCCAACTCCTTGAGGTCATTAAAAATAATATAACTGGGCAGTGGTAGTATATGCCTTTAATCTTAGCATTTGGGAGGCAGAGGCAGGCAGATCTCTATGAGTTTGAGGCCAGCCTGGTCTACAGAGTAAGTTCTAGGATCAGTTCCAATGCTACACAAACATAAAGGTTAAATCTCCTTCACTCTGATTGCAAGCCCTACCTTCCTGTGAACAAGGGAAGCAGAGTGTTTTCAACCAGCTTTGCAGTTTCACCTGAGGACCTCTCAGGGCCTTCTGCAAAGCTGGATCTCTAACATGGGGCTTCATTCATAGTTCCTCCTTTACGTTTTCTGTAGAGACAGGATCTCATCAAATTGCCCAGACTGGACTTTAATTCACTCTCGTAGTTCCAGCATGCCTTGAACTTGCCATCCAAATGTCTCAGCATTTGAGACAGGTGGGATGACAGGCTTGTACCACCAGAACTGGTTCTGGAAGGTTTTTATTCTTTTAATTTCCGTTTTAAAAACTATTTTTAAAAATATGTTATGGGGGAGAAGCATGCATGCCATGTATGCAAGTGTGGAGATCAGAGGACACTTGTGATGTCTGCCCTCTCCTTTAACCTATGAGGCTTCCATGGATCAGACATAGGAAATCATGATTGCACCACAAGTGCTTCATAAGCAGAGCCATCTTACCACCCTGGAGCCATGTTTACAATCCTGATTTTCCAGTATCTACAGATAGGACAGAAAGCTGTCCTGAGAGAAGTGTGCAAAAGAGCAACAGTGTCTCAGTTCACGCTAATGTCTGTGTCCCCTGGCATTGACTGTTCCTTGTTGCTTTCTCTCTTTGCTCAGTCCAGCATAGGTAAGTTCTCCTTTCATAGACCTAGAGGCCTGGGGCCTGGGATCTTTCATTTGGCTGAAAGGTTTCAGGGCTAGGGTTCAAACGAACATTAGATGGATTGTCCTTTTGGATAAGATTTATTAGAAGAGTTAATATCATGGGTAGACAGCATGATAGAAGCACTGATTTGAGATCAGGCCCATGAGGCAGAGTAGAGGAGTCCCTTCTTATAGGTATCAGAAGAAGGGAAGTTTTGGTGTTAGTCCAGATGTTTCTAGGTCACAGGCAGGCAATGGGAAAGGAGAAAATGTCTTGCATCACCAGAAAGGGATGTGAGACTCCAGAAGAGTGCAAGAAGTGAGGGTGGAGCACATCAGTTGAGGTGTGTGCCCTTATATGCATAGAAGTATGTTTCTCCATGGTAGTCTGGCAACCTGAGGTAGTCAACTTCACTGGGAAAATGAGAATTTTTTTTTGCATTTGCTTGTGCATGCACCTGTGCATGAGTGTGTGTGTGTGTGTGTGTGTGTGTGTGTGTGTGTGTGTGTGTGTGTGTGTGTGTGTGTATTCCTGAATACAACCTACTCAGTCCATATTATGTTACTCATATATGTTTTGAGGACTGACCATTTGGTGTTGGATAACCAGATGATGTACAATTCTCTGGGGAAGACAGTTTCCCCTATTATCAGTATTCCTTAGTTGTCTGCAGTTCCTTATGTAGGATTGAAGCCTCATGGGCTTCCCCCCTCCTCTTTGGCATGTCTATTGGTGTTGTCCTTGTTCAGCTCATGTTTAAGGCTGTCATGATGGTGAGAATTTATGAGTATCTCCTAGTAATGTCAGAAGCTACATGGTTTTTTTGAGACAGTCTCTTATTGACCTGGAGCACACCAAACAGGCTAGAATAACCTATATGAATGTAATAACAATTGATGGCAGAAAAAGGTCATGAATTTGATTTAGAGCAAGGACAGATATATATGAGAGTGTTTGGAGAGAGGAAAGGGAAGGAAGAAATGATGTAATTCTATTATAATCTCAAAAATAAAATAAATAAAAACCAAACAGAAGAACCAAGTGTGGATGGCACCTAAGGAAAGGTACCTAAAGTTGACTTCTGGTCTCCAAATACACATGTAGACATGTGCACTCACACAAACACATATGCATACACACATGTACACCCAGACAGACAGCTTACACTGTCTATGGAGGGAAAGGATTGTGAATTCCCATGCTTATGTAGAACCCTTTCTGGTGTCAAAAGTCTATGAAAATTTTTTGTTTTATATGCACTTGCTTGCTTCAAAACAGCAGAACATTTTCTAACAGTAGAGTTCTCAGGAATCCAAAAGGTGCTTGTTCCCTATTAATTGGAGTCAAGGTGGAAGGCTACTTGAATTGAATTGGCATGCTCTGGGGTCTCTTTGAAGGGCTTTCCAAACATATTTTAAATCAAGTCAGTATTTCTATCAAGCCCAATGAGTCCTTGTGGGTGCCCCTGTCTGTGCAAACAATCACATTTTAGAGGTGATGTAACAGGAGGCATATTTTTAAATCTTTTGTAAGACAGGCTGTGGTAGACAGAAAATGGTCTAGCCTTCCTCTCCCTACTCTCTCTTCTGTCACTGGAGAGAAGATGTGTGATGCCATAACTGCCACGCCAGATCCTGTGGAGCTTTTCATTTATAGCAGGGAGGAGCTACAAATGTTTTATGTTGTCCAAAGACTTACCTAGGACTGGGAACACAGCACAATGGAAGAGCACTGCCCTAGTATGCACAAAGCCCTGGCTCAATCCTCAGCACCACAAAATAAAATAAGTGAATGAATAAAAACAAAAAGCTTACTAAAGCAGAGTCTTTGGGTATAGCAGCTAAATAAACTTCATAACAGTCTTAGTCCTCTCAAACTACTATAGCAGAAGACCTTATACTGGATGGCTTATGAACATCAAACATTTCTCATGGCTATGGAGGTGGTGGAGTTCAGTATCCAGGCATCTCAGATCAAGCAATTGGTCCTGGCCTCCTCTTTCTAACTCATAGATGATTTTCCCTGTGTGCTCATAGGGTGAGCAGAGCAGTCAGTAGGCTCTAACCTCATTATAAGGGCCATGCTCCATTATAATTTTCCAAGAGCCTCACCTCCAAATGGCATTACCTTGTGACTCAGGATTTCAACAGTACCAGCCAGGAAACAGATTTTTCTGACCAGAGCAGGCTCGTAGCTTTCCTTACACAGTTCTGTCAGCCCAATTGCTCAAAATGCTGACAGTATATTGGTTGAACTCTTGAACTTCAATAACCAACTTTAGGGGTTCTCATTACACCCCTCTCTCTGCCTTGGAGCAGGACACAACTCCACATGCTGAAGCCTCAGCTCATGTAACCACCCCATAGTTCTAGCAAGTGCACTCTGCTATGATCTTTGTACACAGTTGGCAAGAAACTGGCCTAAGAGTCCTGCTGGTTCAGGCTCTCTCAGTAGAGGCATGGGGAGGGCACTGGACATGGGTAGGTGAGTGTGTAAGAGGAACTGGGCTCAGCTGCCTGAGAAGTTGGGCACTGCAGAAAAGGGAATGGTAAGGGCTGCATCCTTCAGAGATGAGAAAGGAGGAAATTACTGGGATGCCACACATGGAAACACATTGTCCTAAAGTCAGACAGGACAGGAGTCAGAGATGTGGGTAGAGAAACAGGAAAAGAAAGGGCCCCATTCTTCATGTGGGTGAGCAAAAATAAATGGAGATGTTGAGATGTATGGCACCAGTGGTGATGGCTCCTAAACACTACTATGCTTTAGCAAACTCTTATTTATTTCAACTTATATGGGAGTGTGAGTGTAGGCATGTATGCATCACCACCTCTTCAGGGGAGTTAGAGGACAGCTTTTGAGAATCTCTTCTCTCCCACCTTGTTATTGAGACAGGGTCTCTCTTGGCCTTATCTCCTCATTCCCCAGCTATGGGATTCAAAATATTGCTCTTTGAACTTCTGCCAGGTTGTCTCAAATTCTGCAGAATGATTGCTGACTAATAGAGGAAACTTGAAGCTTCTTGACTGTTCTGTCTCTGCCTCCCATCTAGTTGAAAGAATTCTGCCATTACAGATACATGCCGTCACATGCAGCTTTGTATGTAGATCCTAGGGATCACATTCAGATCATTAGACTTCCATCACAAACAGTTCTAGCTGAGTCATCCCCATGGTCCTGGAGACTTTTAATAAATAGATGGTGTGCTGATTAAGAACATGGCCTCTAGAATTAAACTCCAATGTATAGCTCACTGTGAGAACTTTGTCAGGTAACTTAACCTCTAGGTGATTTACCCTTTCTGTGAAAAGAGAATAATAGTAACCTAATGTGGCTTGTGTGCCCGTTAATAGCGATCATCTGTGATCTATACAAACAAACAAAATAGGGAATCATTTTGAAACTAGTTATTAGGTATGGTTATACATCATTGTGGGTTTATTAAATGTTCCTGAATTGTTTATTTTAAATTGGTTACTCTAGTACTCTATTAATTTTCCTTCATTAAGAATGCTTTAAGATATAATAGCTTGTAGGGTTGGGAATGTAGAACAATTGGTAGAGTGCTTGCCTAGAGTGTACCAAGTCTTGAGTCTCATTCCCAGCACTGCCTAAAACATGGCATGGTGGTGTAAATCCCAATTCCTGCACTGGAGAGAAGAAAGCAGGAAGATCAAAGGTTCAAGGTCATCCCTGACTACATAGCGAACTTGAGGCCAGACTGGGCTATATGAGACCCTGTCCCAGTACTTCTCCACAAAGCATATGTTCTTGTGAAACATATGCTCTGAATCTGATAACCACTCATAATGGACTTAGCAAAATCATGTATTGGTAATACTACCTTTATAGTATACTTTCTTTTAGCTTTTATAAACCCTCATTGGTGTCTATGTGTCTATGTAATTATGTTGTTTTTTAGAAGCATGTAGAGAAAAATCAGAAGTGAGGGAAATTCTCAAAGTTATTAATGTGAGGTGTGTTTGCGTGTGTGTATGTGTGTTAAATGAAAACTGAAAGAAATGAAAGATAAACAAAATCATACCATTTGTCAGAAAATAAATGCAACTGAACTTAATCATATACTGTTTTCTTTTGCTTGTAGTTATTACATTTTATATCACATAAAATCATGTGTGTATATATGATAAAAAAGGAAAAGGAAAACTGTCTAGAAAGACTAAGAGAACTAATGGGAGGGAAGAAAAAGGAAATCAGGAAGTATAGGGGGAATTATTCTCTACATATAATATATACAATAAATATTTTAATAAATAAAACCATGTAAAGCATAACAATGAATTGAAAATAGCAATATGTTTTTTATTTAAATTAGAAACAAGCTTCTTTTACATGTCAATCTCAGTTCCCTCTCCCTCCCTTCCTCCCTTGCCCCCCACACACACCCTCCCATCCCAACCCCTTTCTGCTCCCCAGGGAGGTGAGGCCTTCCTTGGCAGATCTTCAAAGTCTGTCATATCATTTGGAGCAGAGCCTAGAACCTCCCCAGTGTGTCTAGGCTGTGAGAGTATCCCTCTATGAGTAGAGGGCTCCCAAAGTTCATTTGTGTACTAGGGGTAAATACTGATCCACTACCAGTAGCCCCATAGATTGTCCAGACCTCCAAACTTTAGGGGGTCTGGAACAGTCCTATGCTGGTTTCCCAGTTATCAGTCTAGGGTCCATGAGCAACCCCTTGTTCAGGTCAGCTGATTCTGTGGGTTTCTTCAGCCTGGTGTTGATCCCTTTGCTCATCACTTCTTCCTCTCTGCACCTGGATTCCAGAGTTCAGCTCAGTGTTTAGCTGTGAGTGTCTACATCTGCTTCCATCAGCTACTGGATGAAGGCTTTAGGATGGCATATAAGGTAGCATCAATCTCATTATCGGAGAAGGGCTTTTAAAGTAGCCTCTTGACTATTGTTTAGATTGTTAGTTGGGGTTGATCTAGTAGATCTCTGGACATTTCCCTAGTGCCAGAATTCTCTTTAAAATTATAATGGTTCCCTCTATGATGGTATCTCTTTTCTTGCCCTCCTCCATTCCTCTCCTGACTAGATCTTCCTGCTCCCTCCTGTCCTCCTCTCCCCTCCTCTTCTCCCCTTCTCTTTCTTCTAACTCCCTCTCCCCTCCCACCATGATCCTCATTAGCTTAGGAGATCTTGCCCTTTCCCCTTCTGGGAGGGGAACCATGTGTCTTTCTTAGGGTCCTCCTTCTTTCCTAGCTTCTCTGGCGGTGTGGATTGTAGGCTGCTACTTCTTTGCTCTAGATCTAAAATCCATATATGAATGAGTAAATACCACTTTTGTCTTTTTGCAACTGGGTTACTTCACTCAGGATGGTTTCTTCTAGTTCCATCCATTTGCCTGCTAATTTCAAGATTCCATTGTTTTTTTTTTTTTTTTCCCACTGTGTAAATGTACTACATTTCTCTATCCATTCCTCAGTTGAGAGGCATCTAGGTTGCTTCCAGTTTCAGGCTACTACAAATAATGCTGCTATGAACACTGTTGAGCAGCAATATGTTTTATTTAAAAGCAATCTTTTTTCATTTTACATACCAATCCCAGTCTCCCCTTTCTCCCCTCCTTCTACTCCCCCCCCCCCCCCTGTCATCCCACCCACTCCTCCGAGAGGGTAAGGCCTCCCATAGGGAGTCAACAAAGTCTGGCACATGAAGTTGAGGCAGAGCAAAGGCCTTCCCCCCCTGTATCTAGGTATCCCTCCATAGGGAATGGGCTCCAAAAAGCCAGTTCATGCACCAGGAATAGATCCTGTTCCCACTGGCAGTGGCCCCACAAACTGCCAAAGCCACACAGCTGTTTACCCACACTTAGAGGGCTGAGTTCAGTCCTATGCAGGTTACCCGCTGTCAGCCGAGTCAGTGAGCTCCCACTCTCTTGGGCCAGCTGTCTCTGTAGGCTTCCCTATCATGATCTTGACTCCTTTGATCATATTATTGGTCCTCCCTCTCTTTGACTGGCCCAGTGCTTACCTGAGAATCTCTGCATCTGATATTAGCAACATTTTTATGAACATGTGAGTTTGCCAGACTAAATGAGCCTGCATCCTTAGATGGGTTTTTCTATGTAGTATTATTTTTCTTACAGTATGCACATTACTTATAAAGTTAAGTTATTATTTCCACCAGGGATATTTTCATATTCTATATGTACTAAATGTAATATGTTAAAAATAATATCTAATGGATATGTGCTAAAATATAAAAAGTAGCATATATATATTACATGAATAAGTAGTAAGTTTAGTTTAATGCTAATATTGAGTAAAAATATTTTCATTGGTTAATGAACTAGGAAAAGATTATATAAAATATCTATTTCAGTGGGGAAAAATACAGAGACTTTTTCGAACAAACATCTCTCAACCTTTGTAATAAAGTTATTAGTGTATGATATATTTGTGTGGTGTGTGTGTGTATGAGAGAGAGAGAGGAGAGAGAGAGGAGAGAGAGAGGAGAGAGAGAGAGAGAGAGAGAGAGAGAGAGAGAGAGAGAGAGAGAGAGAGCGCTCATGTGAGTGCATGTACCCAAATCCTGGCATTCATGTGAGGGTCTGAGGATAACTTTCAACCATCACTTTTCTTCTTCCACCATATGGGGTTGGGATTCAAACTCATGTTGTGCCCTTATCTGCTGAGCCCATCTCAGGAGCCCTGGTTTTGTTTTGTTGTTGTTGGATTTTTGTTTGTTTGTTTTTTGTTGTTGTTTTGTTTTAGGATTCAAGGAAAAACAGATCTTGTACACTGTAGATGTTGAGTTAATGTGCATTGACTGACTAAATAGTTCTCAAATTGAAATCTCACTTTGTAACTCTGTCCTTTCAATCCCCCAGCTGAGAAGGGCACCTGGAGAAGTCTGCTTCCCTGGAGGAAAGAGAGATCCGGTGGACATAGATGACAGGGCCACTGCTCTCCGTGAAGCCCAGGAGGAGGTGGGGCTGCATCCCCACCAAGTGGAGGTGGTCTCTCACCTGGTGCCATATCTGCTTGAAGTAAGGACAGTTGTGGGACCTCCTGAGCTCCTAGAGGGCTCTACATATTTTAATATTCTATGCATTGGGCTTTCAAACAAAATTTATAATAAAAAAATACTGCCACCAGTGCCTAGAAGTTGGAAAATGGGGGGTTAGATTGTCTTCCAATGGGGGTGATTTTCAATTAATTTCTACAAATCCCCCAACACATTTTAGGGAGTTTAGAACTCTATTGACTATTGAACTAGTTAGAAGTTTTTCAAACCAGAGTAGCTTCGTCTCCACAGTCCCTGGAAGCTACTAAATTTCATGTGGGTGGTTCGAATAATGGAGTTCACAGATGCCTCAGACAGCTTTCTCTTACTCTAACAAACACAGGAGCTAATCAACTTATAGGGTATGATGGTTACTTTTAAATGTCAAATTGCCACAACCTACAATCATCTGAGTAGAGCGTCTCAACTCAATTATCTAAATCAAATTGGCCTGTTCTCTCTCTCTCCTTCTCTCTCTCTCTCTCTCTCTCTCTCTCTCTCTCTCTCTCTCTCTCTCTCTCTCTCTCTCTCTCTCTGTGTGTGTGTGTGTGTGTGTGTTGTTTGCAGGTAAGGACATGTCTTAGTAGTTAATGGATGCAGGAGTGTTCTGCCCACTGTGGGTAGTACTGTCCCCTAGGCAGGTGGTCCTGGGCTGTATAAGAAAGCTACCTAAGCATAACCAGCCTGTGAGCCAACAAACAGCATTATCCATGGTTCCTGCTTCACCTCTTTGGCTATAAAGTGAATTCCTTGCTCAGAAGCAATGCTGTGTGGAATAGTAAGCAGCCCCTCCTTTGAGTTCCTGCCTTGACTATCCTCAATGATGGACTGTGAGTTAGAATTGTGAAACAAATAACCTCTTCTCCCCCAAAGTGACTTTTAGTTACTGTATCATCACAGCAATAGAAATGAAAGTAGAACATAGAAGGAAGATTTGGTTCAGCCCATTGTTAGTTGGCCCCATTGTTTTGGGAACTGTAGTAACTTTTGGGGTTCTCTTGAGACCTCTTCATCCATCCCTCCCTCCCACTATGTGTTTTGGGTGGCCAGCAGCTCTCTGCCAAGGATTCACTGTTGGGTGACTGGAGATGGCTAAAGTGGGACATCCTGCACAGAGGCTCAGGAGTGTTGGGCTGACTTCCTGCAAAGCTGTCCTCTACCAATGTCTGGAGCTGAGCCTGAAAACCCAACTCCTTTTCTCTAGCTGGGGTTTCCTCCACAACACCCTGCCTGCTTTCTTCACCAAGATGTTGCACTCCTTCCTTAGCCCCTCACCAGTTTCTCCTGGTAGTACTTTAAGAATTGCTTGCTCCTCAGTCCTCAGCTTACCTTTTACTCTGGGAAACCTATGACCTCTAACAGTGAGCCCTTATGCAGGACCCAGCATGGCTGAACCTCTTCGTGACCTATGACCTCAGATTTATTACCCCAAGTCTATTTAAGGCCTATGTTTCCCTTATCTCCTCTCTAGCCAAAGGTTGCTATTAACCATGGATGCAATTAATAGTATGACCTGTTTTCATTCTGAAACCCTCTTTGGCTGCCTCCCTCCATGAGAGGTCCCCACAAGCCTGTTTAACTTTTTCTAGACTCGCCCCCCCACAATGTACCTCCCTCTGGTTTTCCCAGAATCTTTCTTATGACCAGGAACTTCAAACTGGAGATCATATTTATGTTCAGTCCCAGCCTCTCATGCAGGCTTTCCAGTGGAAGTAAAGACACTCCATCAGCAAACTTGGAGACATTTTGCAAGAATTTGTGCTCATAAATGAAACTACCTCTTCACAAAACATATATGTATGTTACAAAAATATAGTTTATAAGCAATTATATAACATAGTTTTGAGGGTTTTTTCCCTAAATATAAGTATGCCCCAAGTAATATGTCACTTTCCTGTTGATAAGATATCATACTTCTGTCCTTACCAAGATGAAAAGGTGTGTGACATCATTCCAGATGCTAACACAGGTGGAGCACATCTGTTACATGAGGGACATGAATTTGTGTCGGGAGCACCCCTGCCCGAAGCCCACCTTATACCATATATCATAGCCTTGGTCTTCCCTGTCCTAGAAGTGGCCTGAGTTTAACCTTTGAAACAGTATATCACTGCACTTTGTAATGTGTGGATTTTGTTTTCTGCTTTCAGAATGATGCACTGGTAACTCCAGTAGTGGGTTTTCTAGACCACAACTTCCAGGCCCAGCCTAATGCTGATGAAGTTAAGGATGTGTTCCTCGTGCCTTTGGACTATTTCCTGAACCCCCAAGTCTACTACCAGAAACACTTCACACACTCTAGCTTTCATTTTGTTATACACTGCTTTGAGTATACAGACCCCGAAACTGGTGTGAAGTACGTAATCAAGGGAATGACTTCTAAACTGGCTGTGCTGGTTGCCTTAATTATCTTGGAAAAAAGTCCCTCCTTTGACATTGAGTTTGATCTCAATGACCTGATACCCTCTTGTGAAAAGACCTTTCTTCGAAAATATCCTCCAAGCAAGCTGTGAAGACATCAGCACCCTAAAGAATATCTGCACAGAGCAGCAATGTCAGCAAGTGGAACCTGACAAGTGTGAATATTTTTCCTGCAAGGTGAATGCAAGGTCTTGCCTGGTTTCTGGTTGCCACTTTTTCATCTAGAACACTACAAGTCTTCAAAACTGGAAAAATCTTTGGCAGGGCAGTATAATTTTACCCATGATGCCAATATTTTTAGTTATTTTAGGAGTATCTGGCACATAGTAGGCACTTAATAAATGTTTGTTGAATATATGACTGTGCAATGTTTGTTTACATTATTTTAAAGTATTTGAAATATTTTTAATCCATCATTTCTCTTGACACAAACTTCTGGCTAACCATTCAAACCTACCCGCTTGGGACTAGGGAGATATCACTACCAATATAGTGCCTGTCTTGCAAGCATAAGGGTCTGAGTTTGGTCCCCATCACCCATGTAAAATGATTCAGGTATGGTGGTGTACATTTGTAATCCCAGCAGTGGGACACAGGACCAGGCAACTCTGAACCTACTTGGCAAGCTCCAAGTCAATGCTGTTTAAAAAAAAAAAATGTGCCTGAGGAACGACACCAAAATGGTGTCCTCTCTCTCTCTCTCTCTCTCTCTCTCTCTCTCTCTCTCTTCCGCTCTTTCTCCTCCCTCCCCCCCCTCTATGACAGTAGAGTTTAAGCTGGGTGAGCAGACTCCCCAGGATCTCTTGCCATCAAATGGGATCCTGGGATTTAGTTCCAGGCAATGTGATATAGTGGAAAGATGGCTGGCTGGTCTTGTTCAATTAGAGAAGACAGTTCCCCTGAAGCCCCACTTTCTGTCTTCTGTGAGCTGCAGCATGGATAGATCTACAAACCAGCAATGAACAGGTAGATGCTGGGAGGCCCAACTCTCTCCATGCTCCACAATGTGGGAGACTCCACTGCACCCCATGGAAAGCACCCTGCTCTCTACCTGGCCTTATTTGGAGACTGTCTCTAGGCCAAGATGCCTGACTTACCTCTAGTATGTATGACCCTGTGTGCAGTTCCCTGCAGAAGCTTTCCCCCTGCTGCCCATATGGTAATTAGACATGTGCTAGGAACATTACAATAGGACCATGCTTCCCCAGATGATAACTTTGACTTGTGCTAGAAATTTAGTTATAGGAGCATGCTGTTTAATGTAAGTTAGGTGATTCCCCAGCTACCATTCCCAATCCTATATATTCCCTACACTCTGGAATAAAGTTGATCAAATTTCCTGAAGCTGTCTCCTGGAGAGCTATCTCCGTTGTGCTTATAGGCCATACAAAGCTCTCTGTCATTGCTTCTGCCCCTTGTCCTCATGAACTGGTGGCCAGTAGGCCACAAGGAAAAAGGTGACCCCATAGATAGATGAAGAAATTCCCTAAGCGGATGGCAGAATGCAAAGAATGGTCAGTGCCTGGCTCTCCAAGTGTCTCTGTGAAGTAAAGGAACCCTTCAAATTGAGCAGTTGACAGAGGTCAGTGATGGAAGACAGTAATAAAAATTCTGTCATCTTTCTGCATTGTAATTTTGGGCCCTTTCATTGCAGTATTGCTGTAACCCTAAATAATATACTGTAATACTTGAATATGACAAGACAAGTATTCGCCCAAGCTCAAGGGATTGCAAGCAAAATTGACATCCCAGCTTTGACTCTTGATGTGAAAATTCTGTGATGTGCACAGAATTTCAGAGTCACAGGAGGGGCCAGGTGGCAGACACCCAAAGCAGTTTAAACAGATGAGCAGGAAAGGCCTATGAGTCTCCAAATATAACCAGTCATCTCCCAATATGCTGATGGCAAATAAAACACCAGTTTCAAACACAAATCCTAAATCAGAAAGACAAGCATTTCAAACTACATGCTTTGAGACCTACCGCCTCCTCTGTGGCCATCACCATAGACCATGCTTCAATGCCAGCAGGGATTTCTTTGTTTAATTAGGATACTAACTGTGTCAAGGTCAGAGAGGCTGGTAAGTGAATCCCTATAACCACAACTCTATGATGCTAATTTTACATCCTACTGAGTAATAGTATTAGATTTTCACAACTACAGCTGAAAATCTGATGCCCACATTAAACAACATCAGTCTGCCAGGATAGTGTCCGTTGCTGCTGAGCATTTTTTTGTCTCTCTCAAAGTTGGCAGAGGCAAATACCCAGTCCACTGCTTTATGGCCATAAATGTTTAAATGGTGCAAATCTGGATCCAACCAGGAAAGCAGATGTTGGGTGAGCATCCCTATTACCATTCCGTAACTAGCCCTGCATGAGCAGGCCTGGGCCATTTCTGAACAATTACAGAGGCATTTGCAAATGTGTATTTACAATCTGACAGCAGTGTAATTGCTGGGTAGATGCCTGACCTCTCTGGCACTGCAGAAAAGCCTCCCTTCACACTGTTTGTTGATGTGAACTCTGATGGCCTTGCCTGTTTTCTGAAAGGAGTTGGAGCAGCTGAACTCTGCAACTTGAAGACACCCGAGTTAGAGTGCTGCTTATTTATTGATAGCTGCATTATGGTCCCTGTCCTTTATTAATTACAACTATATTCAGGGCTCTAATTAAATGTCCAATCTAGATCAAATCAAAAGAAGTTGTTGGGGGCTGGAGAGAGAGGTTAGTGGGCAAAGTGCTTGCTGGGCAAGCCTGAGGACCTAAGCTCTATACTTAGAGCTCTATGTTTTTGGAAAAGACGGGCATAGGGGCACTTGTTTACACCCTCAGGGCTAGGGAGGTGGAAGCAGGCAGATCCTCCTGAGGCTCACCATCCTGAGGCAGCCATCATGACGAAATGGGCAGATTCCAGGCCTGTGAAAGACCTTGTCTCAAAATACAAGGTGGAGGACTGGGGAGATGGCTCAGTTGGTAAAGTGTTTGCCTCCCAAGTATAGGATTCTGGAGTTTAGATCTCCAGAATCCATGTAAAGCCTGGACGTGGCAGTACAAGTCTGTAACCTGGTGCTGAGGGTAGAAACAAGTGGATGCCAGGGGCTTGCTTGTCAGACAGTCTAGTTGAAATGATGACCTTCAGGTTCAGGGAGAGACCACCAAAAATAAAATAGATATGATTGAGAAAGACATGCTAAAATCAGTCCCTGGCTGTCCACATGGAGTCACATGGGGTGATAACACCCAAATACACACCATCACACCATGCCTATATACACACAAAGATGGATAGCAGTAACCTAAGAAATGATGCCCAAGGCTGTCCTCTGGCCTCCACATACATGTACCTATGAACACACACACACATACACACACACACACACACACACACACACACACACACACACACACACTGGCAGGGGGTCCTGCAGGGAGTCTCCAGTACTACTAACCAGATTAGCCTCAAGTATAACAGCAGTCATGAACACACACTGCTGAAGACCTCAAAACCAGGAGGACCTGCACCTTCTTTTTGCATCCTGTCATGACGGTAGTAAGAACCATGTATTGGAATTGATGCAGACACAAGAGTAACCTGTTTGTCAAGATAGGAAAGAGCCAATGTGCCAGTCAACAGATGAATGAACAAAGAAAATGTGGTATGCACATAAAAGAGACTTTTATTTAACCATATAGAAGAATGAGATGATGTCGTTTGTGAGGAAATGGGTGAAACAGGAGAGCATAATGTTAAGAGAACTAAGACTTAGAAAAAGGAATGTCACATGTGAATCTCATGGGAGTGGGGGGCATGGATTACATAAAAATAGAAGAGGGGGTATATCCTGGCTAGTTTTATGTCAGCTTGCTACAGCTAAAGTCATCTGGGAGGAGGGAACCTCACATGAGAAAATGCCTCCATAAAATTGGATTACACACGGCAAGCCTGTAGGGCATGTGATTAGTGATTGATGGGAGGGGGCCCAGCTCATTGTGGGTGAGGACACCCCTGGGCTGGTGGTCCTGCGTTCTATATAAGAGCAGACTGAGCAAGCCAATAAGCAGCTCTCCTCCATGGCCTCTGCATCAGCTAATGCCTCCAGGTTTCTGCCCTGTTTCAGTTCCTGTCCTGACTTCCTTTGATTGTAATCAGTGATATGAAAGTGTCAACAAAATAAAGCCCCTTCCTCCACAAACTGCTTTTGGTCATGGTGTCTTCTCATATCAATAGTGACCCTAACTAAGGCAGGGGAATGTTTGGGAAGAGACAGGAGACTAGCAGGAGAGGAAGGCAACTGGGTAATGCAGATGAACAGGTCCAAAAAAGTCATGGTATGCATAAGCAAAAATTGCATTGTGAAACCTGTTACTTCATGCAATAAATTTGCATGAGGTTCTTTTTTTTTTTTTTAAAGAAAAAGATCAGAAAATTAGTACCTCAGCCCGCAATTCCTAGAAGGCACTATTTGGCCTACTAGGGTCCCATGCCAGAATTCCAGTACTCTGTGATATGCAGGGTTCAGTGGTTCAGCAAAACATCTCCTGTCTCCACTCTGATTTCATATGTGGTTCTGCCAAGGAGACAGCCTCAACTCTGTATTTCTACAGCCCACAGCACTGGTAAAGAACATGGTAAGAGCTCAGGTCTGACATCAGGATGCTTAGGCGTGAGTACCACCTCCATCATCACCAACCCATGACTCAAGCCTGTTCTCCATTCTCTGCTGGCTTCCCTACAGCACAAAAGGATGAACATTCCATTGATGGATGCTGTCCTGGTTGACTTTTCTGTTGCTGTGGAAAGAAATACTGACTTGAGGAGGAAAGAATTTATTTCATCTCATACTTTCAGTTAATACTACAGTATTAAGGATTTGGGGGCAGGAAGTTAATGGAGGAAGCTGGAAGCAGGAACAGGAGCAGAGACATGAGGAGCTGTGCTGATTGGATTGGCTTGTGCAGCCTGATTTCTTGTACAACCCAGGGCCACCTACATGGGGTGGTGCCATCCATAGTGAGCTGGACTCTCCCATATCAATCATAAATCAAAAATGTTCTCTGCAGACTTGCCTGCTGATGAGGCAATTCCTCA